GTTCGCGAATGTACCCGGTTTCCGAGACTATATAGTTCTTTATAGTTCCACAGTAGTTCCTCTAACGCCATCTAGTATTGAGTAGGGCGTTTCATGTTATCTTTGTTCTTTGAGTGGTTTTAATGGTTGACGCTAGATGGCGCTAGTTCCTTTGTACTTTGTGTGTTCGTAACAATATTGCAGAAATATATATTAAGAAATTAAAGAAAATGTAGAAACACCCCCATAATACATAATCCCAGTTGGTTCGCTGGAAGCCTGTTCATCGTTCTCGGTTTCGGTAGCAGCATCGCAATGTACATATAATGGAAAAAGAAACGCACAGCTTCATCGCACCAACAGTCCGAAAAACTCCAGCTGCAGCCAACAGGGTCTACGTAGCCAGCATCTTCAGTGCGCCTCACAGGGGAGCAGTTACGTCACCATAACAAACTCTATCCTACGAACCCGTTATCACTAGCAAGTAAAACGCAAAATCGGATGATGTAACGATTTCAGTGCCCATTAAGAAATCAATATTTATATAGGTGTAATGATTTCAGCATCCCGTAGATCGTACTCTGTGAACCATTTTATCCCCATTAAATATATCACGTTCAAAATAGAATATAAGATTATCATTTGTTAGAATAAATCAGTTTTAATTTGTAAGCTACAAGTTGTACTGTAAGGTTTCTATCCTTACTAATATTATAAAGGCGAAAGATTTTATGTATGGATGGATGTTTGTTACTCTTTCACGCAAATACTACTGAATGGATTTTAATGAAACTTTACAATAATATAGCTTACACATCAGAATAAAACATAGGCTACAATTTATATCCATATGTTTATATAGATCTGTCTTTCTGTCTGAATGTTACGCCGTCAGCCTATTACGCAGACGTAGTCCCGGGCAGCAGCTAGTAATAAATAAAGTTTCTTTTAAATTATTCCTGCGACCTCTCACTTGAATCGGGTTATGATTAATTTCCATAGATATTTTAGAAGCAAGTAACGTAGTCTTAACGCAGAATATTTTTTAAAAGAATTGAAGGAGAATTTTAGAACTAAACTACACTCAGCGTCACAAAAATCGCACCTCTCTGAGTTTGCGCGAAAAATGGCTGTAATGGCTAGAAACGAATTATATTTATATAAATATTGGTATGTTTGAAATGGGTATTTGAATAGCTTTACATTATTAATAAAAAAAATCATGAAATCATTAAAACATTTATCATTATAGGGCGTCAAAAATAAACACTGTCAAATGCTCGTTACTAAGCACGCTAGTTACACCACCTAAAAAGGGTATAAAAGGGTCGATCTGGATGAAATATGGGACAATAGCGTGACGGCCAATAGCGTGACGGCCCGAGCCGAGGCTCCCCCGGGAGCCCTCGAGCTTAGTCACCATAACGCGTAATAATAGTACGCCGAGGTTCAGGCTAGGCGCCTCGTGCGCCAGGCCACCTCAAGTCCGTCGGATCTGTAAAGGCCCCTAAGGCCAACAGTGGCTCATCCAGCCCAAAAAAAAAAAAAAAAAAAAAAGAAATATGGGTCAGTCGTAATTTAGACTTTGCAATGAACACACGTAAACAAATAACTCAAGTAAGAACAAGTAAAGATGGACACCAGCTCTGAAGAAGCCGCTCAAGTGATTGCCTTATTGCAGTCTAGAGATGGGTCGTATCGCTTTTTCTGAGTACCGTATCTGAATCAGATTTCGATTTCAAATATCAGATTTCGAAACTATGTATTTTAATATCTAGATATTTTACGGTCCCGTATCCACCTTGAATTCTAAGAAAAAAAAAGAGTATTAAAAAGTTGATTCATTCTATGTACATAATTTTCCTGATATTTAAAACTTAACTTATTTACAATTATGTGTGGGTTAATAATTATTTAGATTCCTCCGGGTTTAAATTCACGTTTACGAACGTAAGCTGTTTGACTTTAATCGTCGAAAGTCTTGTTCGACGATCATTACTATCTATACATAACAAAAGCTATTACCAGTGATACCAACTGTTCAAAAAGAATACTTCTAAATAAATTCGAAAACCCACTAAAATCGACTAAATTCAAAAAACTTACGGAATTTAAAATCACGATTTTTTTATACTATAAAGATAAAATTAAAACATTACCTGATAAAATTAAAAATTTCATTAAAAATAGAAATTGAAGTTTTATAAAAATGATTTATTTTAACATCTTATATATCGCTTAATAACTTTCGACTTTAACATATTTTTAAAACACGCAATCATAAGTGACAATATCTTTATAATTTGTGTAAGAAATAATACATTCAGTATTATAACAGGGCGGAAGAATTTAAAATATACACACAAAGCACATAAGCCTTGGTCTGATTTCCACCCAAGCAGCACAGAACTATTAAATTATATTTTTCTTTTTGTGTACTTTTATTTTTTTCCAAAAATATGAATAAAATTTAACTAATAAAAATATTCACAAAAAATTTACTTATTACCAATTTGCTTATTACCAATGCAATCCAGCTCAAGACTAGACAAAATTTAAAGACATCGTTAATACCGTAATTCGTATTTAAATGCAACAGAGATTTTTTTCCATGCTGTTAAGATTCAAAATTACTTAACTGCGCGCTTTGTCGCCTGTTACGGCTCAAGGCTAAACAAAACAATAGAAATATAATAATATCGTTGTAGTAATCTTTGATACCATGATTAGTATTTAATTAAAACGGATCTTATTTGCATGGTGTTAAGATTCAAAATTACTTAACTTATTCATAATATCTGTTTAAAAATCTGATATTGTGGCTTGCTTGCCGTACTGTCTAACTAGTGTAATATTTGTATCTCACGCGCTTTGTCGCTCAAAATCTGTTTAAAAATCTGATATCGTGCATTGCTTGCCGTCCCGCTCTAACTAGTGAGTATTTATATCTCACGCGCTTTGTCGCTCGATATCTGATATTGTGCATTGCTTGCCGTCCCGCTCTAACTAGTGAGTATTTGTATCTCACGCGCTTTGTCTCTCGAAATCTGTTTAAAAATCAGATATTGTGGCTAACGCGTATAATATCGCGATTCGTATCGGTATAGCGAGCGAGCACGGTACATCAGATTTCGGAAATATCAGATATTGTAAAATACATAGATATTGAACGAGCCAGTAAGCGATATTCGGATATTGTACTAATATCTAGTTTTCATATCTGATACGATTTGTATCGCCCACTTCTATTGCAGTCGGAGATGCGGCAGTGTGACGTTGCTCGACAGTTGAACCTGTCCCGTTTTTCAGTTCGACGGGTGTTCCAACTTTTTCAGCAGACTGGTGGTTATGTTAGAAAACCGGGATCTGGAAGAAAACGGTGCACATCAGAAAGAAATGGCCATTTCATCGTTACGACATCTTTACGAAACCGTTTTACAAATGCTGTTGAGTTGCAACAACAGCTTCGATCAACTCGGAGAACATCTGTGAGTGTTTCTACGATAAGAAGAAGGTTACACAAAAAGAGTTTAACAGCCCATAGACCTGCTAAAGGTCCAAAACTTACTGCACAGCATCGCAGAGATCGCCTAGAGTTTGCTCGCAGTCATTGCGAGTGGACTCTAGAACGGTGGCGAACCATACTCTTCTCCGATGAGACGAGGGTCTGTCTCTTCTGCAATGACAGACGTAGAAGGGTCTAGACAGGGGGAGAGGTTCACACAACCCTGCTTCGAAGAATCCGTCGAATATCGGGGTGGCTCGTGTATGTTTTGGGGCGGCATTTCCGTCGACGGGAAAACGGAACTTGTGTGCGTTTCCTGGACTCGGGGTGGCCGTGGGCAAGGGTCATTAAATGCTGGTCGGTACATTACTGAAATCCTGGAGGAACATGTGGTCCCGTATGCTGGTTATGTCGGTGATGGATTCATGTTAATGCATGATAATGCTCGTTGCCACACCGCGGATATTGTACGGGATTATTTACAGGAGGTCGATATCCCTGTTATGCATTGGCCAGCACGAAGTCTAGACCTTAACCCAATAGAACATCTCTGGGATGACCTAAAACGGCGCGTGCGAGCTCGATATTCAGCTCCAACCACTCTTCAAGAGCTCCAAGATGCGGTACTTGAAGAGTGGGAACAAATACCCCAAGAGGCTGTTGCGACCCTTGTAAGGTCCATGAAAGAACGCATGGAAGCCGTTATCAAGGCAAGGGGGGGGGGGGGGTGACACTAGGTTTTAAGAACTTTTTTGTATTTATTAAGTTTTTATTTAAATTATTAATTTACCAATTTGTTTATACCCTGTCTTTTTCTTTAATTTCTCTTTCGTCTCGTTATAAAAGTAAAATTCAATTAAAATTCCTGAAAGCTAATGAAATTACCTTTCGAATGATACACTCAAACCACAACATTGCCATTGGCCTGTTGTGTTAAAATAGTATTTAATTTATTTTTTCGGATGTGCGATTTTTTTGACGCCGAGTGTAGTACAGAAAATTAAAGATTTAACAATACTTACATTTTAATGAACAAAAAACTAAGCTGACTTCAAACATACATTTCCTATAAATTTTGAGGAGGTTCCAATGAAATTGCACATGGGAGCTAAACAGAACCCAATGCGAAAATATATTTTACATTTGTTCATAAATGACGGAGTTTCGATTTAACAAACAGGAACATAAGAACTACGGAATTAAGAGTCTCCTCCTTTTTAAAGTTGGTTGAAAAAGAAAACAGCATTAGGAAAAAAAATGGGAAAATGTAAAAACCTCAAAACCTTACATCGCATTTATTTAATACTGTAACAAAACAACCACTAAATACTTTCTATAATACATACGTAGTTAATATGAAAATATAATTTATAGGAATGATTTTCTTAAAATAAGAAAACCTAAATTAGCGTTGTTAATTTACTTCTTTTCACCAGCCATTCGATGTTCAACGTTATAGAGAATTATTAACACCATACAAAAATTATTGTGCCAAAACTAGTTTTAGATGAACAGAATGTTAAAAAGGATTATAAAATACGAAGACATAGGTAATCCTTTTTCTATAAAGCAAAGTTTACAAAGTTATAGAAAATATCAAAAGTAACTGAACTACTATTACAATTTGTATACAAAAGACTCGTACGTACTCTACAAACAATCATTCCGAAACATTATAATTTTTATTCAAAATTATGTAAGCTTTATAAGTAAGAAATATTCTCACCATCACATTCATTCAAATGGCTTCATTGATTAGGTACACTAACTACCAAAATAGTAGTATATAAAATGAACATCACAAAATCGTTTTTATATCGAATAAACTGTTTATGATAACTTCATCATTATAATGCGTTTATTCCGAAATTTTAGCTTGAGATATATACTTTTAATAATATTACCTACGTTTACATAATTTTATACACCAATAAAACTGTCTATCGTGCATCGCCGTTGTAGTTAAAAAAACAGGAATGAATGTGATCCAGTGCTTATATTGTAACAAACTAAATCTTTGTCATAATAGCTTAAATATTCTACTATTTCCAGCAGATACATTGAATGATTAAAACTACTATTCAGTATTTAGAGTCTGTCGACTTATAAATCACTATAAATACCATGAGTACATTGTTTTAATGAAAAATATGTGAACATCATAATTAAAATCGTTATGTAAGATCTTAAAAATAATAAAGGCAAAGAACATTCCCTTTTAGTATTATATACCAGTTCAGTTTTTCAAATGAACAAAGCTTTCATATGATGGATGTTTGTTGTGTCTTAACTAACTTGTTGTGATGGTAGTTATTACTTAAATGCTTCATTTAATTTAATTAGTAAAATATTTTTTTTCTTTTTATTAATGGCTTGCCTTGTTTGTTATCACAATTCAATATCTTTAATAATACTATTACGACCAGGGGGTTGTTGACGTCTTAGTTCGAATGGCGTATTTGATTTCATTTTAAATTAGTACTGAAAGTGAAAGTTCTGGAACTTTCTATTAAAAAGCCGATGCCGCTGGACAGGCAGTTCAGTGGAGGAACTCGAAGAAGAAGGAAGAGGAAGTGAAGTGAAAAGTGAGGGAAGTGAAGAGACAAGTGACCTAAAGGCGTACACGGAGGATTGGTGCGGTAACGTGTGGACCGGCGCACTTGTAGAAGCGTACGTGAAGATAGGCGCTAGAATCAGATTGCGTCGCACTGGTAGTCGCGTAAATATAGAATTGGGACGCAACGAGAGAGTCGTCAGACTTGTACTAATAAGTGAGGATTAGAGCGGCATACAGAGGGCCGCCGTGCACGTTTGTAGAAGGTAATAAAGTGAACATTTATACGACGGGAGTTTAACTCCAATCCCGAGCCCCTAGCTCGTAACAATACTCAATTTGTAAGCGATATTTACTATTAAAATAAAAGTTATTTTTGGTTACGAAAATACCTTCACTTAATGATAATGCGGGTAGTTAAATATTTAATCCCAAATTACAGCCAAAATAAATAACAAATGACAATCAGCGCTACGCTGAAATGTAGTGCGCTCGGTGAAGACAACTAAAATCCAAATTTACATTTTACTTGTATTTGAAACCCAGTTTAGTTGGAAAACTTTTTGTCTAACAAGTATTACTAAGTGATTTCTTTTTTAATAATCCTAGTATTGTATCACATTTCCATAATGCACTAGAAAAATTCTCACACATTTGTAAAGTTAGATATTATCTACACTCCTAAAATCTAAATGGCTACGGAGATTCGGAGCTAAATAAAAGCAAGGAAAATACAACCTGTTATTTGCGAAATAAATCAATTTACAGATGTAAGGAATATTAATCTCAAGTAATTTAATTTGAGCATTGTTAGAGCTCAAATACAATGTGATTAAAGTAAAATAGTAATGAAAATAATATTTTATTTATGTATCAAAGACAAAAAAAACGTGAAATCAAAACTTACACCCTAAATATTCTCGATTTCTTTTTAAAACTTAATATAAAGTAGTCTTCCTAGTTGTATATTTTTTACTCCTTTGAATTAATTATTTCTAAAATACTGACGTAGGAACCCGTCAAAAAGCCCAGGATCCCAAAAGATATTAAGAATAAATTCTTCCATAGGACCCAATTGAAGCGGCCGAGGCCATTAGGTCTATCCCAGAAGGCGACGACCTCTATAATCGAAGGGAAAATGAGACCAAGGAACGAGAGGCAGACGGCACCAACGAGAGAGATGAAGGGTCCCAAGTTTGGAATAGCAATTGCAATGCATAAAGTCAATATGATGATTGCAATCCTAATACTGTACTCGGCGAGATTTTTCCTAGCTCCAAACCAATGTCGAACGTTCCTCCAGATTATGTCCATGGGCACGTAGAATTGGAGACTGTATGTGAAGAATATGGCTACAGCTATCATAAGCTTCACGCTCTGACCAAGCCTGAAAATAAAATAAATGTTGCTCTATATACTTAGTTCTATTTTTGAATATATTCGAAACAAGAATAAAAAATAAAGTAACAAAAATAAAGTGTCCCACTACATGGCAAAGGCCTCCCCTGTACCGAGGGTATTAGGGCATAGTCCCCCACGAAACCCGACTGCAGATTGGTGATCTTCTAATATTTTTTTTGTTATTATTCGATAACATTTACTTTTCCTCACGATGTTTCCTTTCACCGCTGAGCGCGTGATATGTCAGCACTTAATATTAACGATTTTATGGGTGCCAGCGCCGCGGATCGAACTCAGGTTTCTCGAGTATATTGAATTAAAAGCGAGCGCCCGAACAATGAGCTATCACAGCTCAAGAAGAATAACTTACTACTTTTTTCGGGATTATTTAAAGTATATCAGTGCTGCGCACCAGGTTGTGTTAGCCATAAGCCGGTAAGAAACCCACAAACTCACAAATGTCCCGTAAAGTAAAAGTTTTTATATTTATATCGCGCTTTTGCGTTTTGTATGATTAGTAAGGTGACTGGATACTTAGGCCCATTAAAGTTGTTAGTAATGCAAACACTTACACTAAAATATATTTAGTTTTCGATGGAGCCATAACCTCTTTCATGTTTCCATCTCCCCACTTATGTACCTACATTCACGTGCGGTTGGTGGTGCGGGCATTGGTTAACATTTATTATCAGATAGAATACTTGCTTATTCTTCAAAAGAATATGACAAAGACAACAGAAAACGTCTTATAAAAATTAGAAGTCTAAAAAGTAACATGTTTCAAAGACTCATGAAGTGCGCCAATCGTAATATTAATCCAATAGATCGATAAGATATGAAAGGTGATCTACTTACACTTCATCTTCTGGCAAATTGATCGTGATGCTCCCGGATGTTTTATCACCGTATTTCAGATATCCGAAGAATCCGACGAAAGCGTACAGCGACACAACAAAGAACATGCCAGTGTTCAACACACCGGGACATCCTATGAAATGGGTTGGGGTCTTCATATTGTTTTCGAGTGGCATTACAACACCAATACCTTCAAGAGCAAAGATAGCGGTTCCGAAGAACGTTGGCAAATGATCGAAACCTGCGAAAGCCTGACGCTCGCTAAAACTGGGTATGTCTTGGAACAGGTAATAGAAGGTTATACCCATGCCAGTGCCGACCAGAAGATTCGCTATCATGGAGAATGGTGCCAGATATTTCAAGTTTCTGATAAGATTCATAGCTATGAGCAGGGGAAGTAATAGTGCCATGTAGATTCGGACGTCCATGTTATGCGGAAACCACTCGCTATCCTTAGCGTGATAATCCACAACTTGCTTCACATTTTTGGCAACGAATACTATATAAACACAGCAGCAACCCAGTAGGTCAATGACCAGAAACCAGTTCACGAGGGCCCTGTAAAGTTAAATTTATTTATTTAATTCATTAATTTACATAATAATACTTATTCCCTTATTATTTTATTAACTTCAGCCACTTTAGCTCTTTTAATATAATAATTAATATAATTAATGAATTAGGGTAATTTTTTTATCACTTAAAAATCAATAAAAATACGTTGTTTATAGAGTTTTTTTTTTAAGAAGAAGTACGTAAGCATCAATGAAAAGTATTTTATTTTAAACAATCACGTATTAAGCTTTGACTTAAACAATTGTCGACAGATATCATTACCATACATTCTCATTAAGAAATTAGCTTTTTGCCCGTGGCGCCCCCGGTATGTTCCTACTACATTTTTATCGTGCTTAAAAAGTACCTATGGAACCCATTGTGCGCAAATCCGACTAACACTTTGCCGATTTTTTTTACTTTATATAAACTTATAGTACAATCATCAAAATTATACAGACCATTATTATATCGTTACATAACCACATGTAAAAAAACAACTAAAAACAGTGAACGCTAATCAAACATGGAAGCCACAAGTTCATACAAGTGATTGTTATTAAATAACACCCACAACTCTCACTGATATCACGCGCCGTTAAACAAAAATGAACTAACTAACACCCGGTTTTTGAAACAATGATCATCGTAGAAATTAACTAACAGCTGTCAAATTTAGATTTTTTTTATTTTAAACATTACCCTTACTTTAGGATAATATTATCCTGTGTTGTAAGGACGTTTTACAAACATAAATTTCACGTGGACAAACACTCAGATGCGAAACAATTATCCGTGGGTCACACAAATAGTTGTCCCGTGTGGGAATCGAACCTACGACCCCGGATGCCGTAGCCAACACTTAGGCAACTGCGCCACGGAGTCATCGCCAAAAGGATGGTTAAACTCTCTGAATTGAACAGAATGATCAATTCGAATAGTAAAACTTTCGGCAACTCAAATGACATTTGACAGCTGATTAGTTAATTTCTACAACGATCAGTGTTTCAGAAACCTGACGTAAGTCTACATTCCTAAAACAGCTCCGCGATCGCACCGTTTCGGTATAGTTTGTCGTTATGTCATTTTGAAGCGACAACACGTACACTGGTGGTGGTGTTGTTGTAAAATGTTCAAAATGTCTGAAACTTATTTAAAATGGGATGTGATCAAATCCATCATAGTATTTCATGAAAAATTTTAAATGTTTGTAGTCAATTACTAATTATTTTAATCAGTTTTCAATTTCCTTTTTATTCGAAGTATAAAAATCGATGAACGTTTCAGTAATTTGGGTCCTTTTTAAGCATCTTATATCAGTTAATATATTTTGAAATTACATTAAATAGGAGGTGTACACAATGACTTTCAATATAACTATTCTAAGGTACTTTTTTGTTATTAAGAACACATTCAAACTACGTGTTACATTTTAAAAATACGTTTTTAATATTAAATAAATAAAAATTACTTACTTAGCGAGCCTAGAGAATTTGTGCATAGAAGGTGGACCGGAAAGGAATGCAGTTTCCGCGGTCTCAGCAAACCCCAAAGAAGGTTTCTGTATTCGTTTGCAGAGGTCATGAGAAGTCTTCACTAAAACGTGAACGCAATAGGTACAAATACCACCAATCAAGAATGTAGCAACCAGGCCGAAGTACAGGCCTGCGTTGAGGAAGGCCATTGGCATAGCCAATATGCCACTTCCAAGAGATCCTTTCAAAAGGTGAATGAGAGTATCCATGTCCCTATAATTAAAAATATAATTATGTTAGTTAAGATTTAAAAAGAAATAATATGTAAACCGATGTTAACCGGTTGGCAACTAGTTTCATTTTAATTCTTTAAAGTTTAAATTACAATTTATTCAACGTTAAATATTAAGTGCGTACGTGCTGTGAAACATTTTCAGGTATTTTTAAGGTATATTTAAGTTGAATGTAGTAATATACTATAGACTCCAGTCCCATACGTAAATAAATAAAACAAATTTTAGCTAATTGAATGAAAATATGTAGTATTTTTTAAAAAGTTTTATATTTCTAAATGGGTCGAGCTACAGTCTAAAAGAAATATGACACTGGCGGAATTCGCAATTTTGCATTAAAATGTCATGCCAAAACAAAACAATAGCGTACTGTTACGTTCATATCTTTTACTATTTTATGTTGTCGCAATAAGGATGATGGTTTTTTCCGCTTAAAGGAATACTTACGATGTAGGGTGAGCCAATTTCCTGTGTTCAAATGGATTATAATCCTCGTCAGCTTCAATGTCTCGTCCCGGAATCTCCATAAGAGGGAGAGTGGAGCCAGCCTGTTGTTCCACAGGGATCTCATTTGGGTCAACTTTGTACCTGTAAATCAATCCCCAGCACTATTTTAATGTCTGCCTCGAAAATAACGTAGGCCATAATATGTATAAAGTAACAAAGTAATGATGTCATTAAGTTAGAAGTGAGTGGTACAGGAGTTTTTCGTTCACTATTCTATCCAAAGCATACAATGTAATGATAGCTCGCAGTGAGAAAACATATAAAGCGCTACAATTGTAGTTTCATGTATTCGTGTTGTGAACCGATATGTGTCGCGGCGCGAAATTAAGATGATTCACCAGAACTATGCTGTGGCAAACTGTTTATCAATTGATTATGTAGAACGCGTGTCGGTTAATACGTTTATAGTGTAAGTGTAGCTGGTTGAAGTGTGATACATTCATTATGGTCTCCAAATAATACAGGTTGCTTTTTTTTTGAATGCGTTTCACTCTATTAAGACTCGGCATTTACAAAAGTGTGGCTCAACCTTTAAATTCAATACAGCTTTACGTTGAAAATAAAAAAAAATTACGATGTACAATTTTTTCAAAGAACAACGTAAATGCGTCGGCTTTAAAACGAATAGAACTCGTGATAACGCATTGAGGAGATAAGTTTACGAAAGAGGTTCTGGATATCTTTGTATCGCTGGGGCGACATAAAGCTAAATTAAATTTGTACAAATGACCATTTAGAGAGCCAATCCCGAGCCTGAACAGAGGTGGCGCACGAGAGGCCGCGGCGATCGCTTGACGCTGACGCGTCCAGAGCGCGACGGCCGCCGCATAGGTACACATGTCTTTTCATATGTTTACCAGTACCAAATAAAAAAAATTAAATACAACAAATTGAAACCATAAAATGGAATGATGTACCGGTGTATGAGTCCATTGCAAGAAGATCAAGGTCGTCGAACGACTTTAATCTCGTGGAAGCAGCACACATCTTCCCGGATCGTCTCCGAACAGCGGCGAGCTAAATTAGCTCGTTAAAGGAGCAAGTACTTAACAGTCAACATACAATATAAAATACCATTTTAACGATAATACATTAATGGCAACAGAAAGTCAAGTGGGGTAGAAATTTCCCGTAAAACTGAACTTTAATATAATACCGATTAAGATTCTTTTACTTGACAACGCATAGACTACAAATGTTCCTTTCAAAGCCCTGTAGAACAAAAATGTCAATATTATTAACATTACGACTCATCCGAAACATATTGAACATACAATCTCAATTTGCCAACAAATAAAAATGAGGTTAAGCTGTGGAGGCATGCTATAAATTCATTTCAATCTCTCGTTACCAAGCAGAGAACACAAGGTGACTAGGATGTATCCTTAGATTGAACTGAACTAGAATTATTAACAATACAGGCGGTCAAGCTGATATGTTTTATGATTGTCGCTCTAAAATGACAGCAGAGGTAAGGAACATTGGCACTTACTTGACCATAACGACATCTGATAAGTCATTTCTGACTCCTTTTTTCTTGGGATCATATTCGGCTATCATCGCCCGCATTTGGGGTTTCTGCAAAAAATAGAAAAGAATTGTTTATGTTATGCATACGAAATGAGGAATATTTAACATTAAAGAGACTTCCTGTAAAGAGTTTCTTGTTTCAAACTTTTACAAATGTGAACTAATAAAATAAAAAAAAACAAAAATCTGGCCACGTGCGTGTCGGACTCGCGCACGAGGAGAGAAAATATTTTTTTACTAGCTGCTGCCCGCGACTACGTGTGAAAGACAAAGATATACATAAAATATGCCTTCATATGTATACCACATTCATGGTTTTGCCTTATGTTGCCCGGGAAAAATAGATTTAAAGTCAACACCAACTGCTTTTAGGGTTTATCCCTGAGACTTATTAGTCATCATGAAGCAAGCTGCTGCTGGAAATTGTGTGCGCTTGAATTGGAATGGGAAGTTGTTGGGAATGTATTCATTGAATATTCCCACTTTTGCAAGCTATTGGACGAATGGGTAGACCCGTCCGGGGGAGTACTGTGACCTCGCAGAAGTGGACATGTTATACTTTTGCGTTACGTTTTGCAAGTGAGGTAACAGAAGCCCACTTTATTAAATGTTAACAACGGATCTGCAACCATACTGAGGTTGTGAATGACTATGGCTAGTGGTAATCACTTAACATCAGGTGAAACGAAAGCTCACTTTTTTTACTGAGTTTTTTTTTACTTTAAAAAACTGAAAATGTATGGTGGAGTAAGGTTTCTTAGAAGCATTATAGGAACGCGAACTGGGAGTGAAATGAATAATAAATTAAGTTCTTATTTACTTTTCCTAACTGTTAAGTATGATTTAATATTATCAAGTTATACTCAATTTGGCGCGTTTGCGCAAACCGACAGCCCAAAACCGACATGATGTAGTTGGTTTTAAAGCGACCAACTTCCACGGACTTCACGATATAACCATTGCAACCAATAACAAATTTTTAATATTTACCTATAAAACCGTTATCAATTGCATTAAACGTATTTTTCACAAACAAAGAGTAGGGACCTTCTAACAGTGGGAAGAAAATTGTTAAATAAATTTCTTTTGTTACGCTTAAGAGAAGAATTATAACGAAAAACATTATAACTTATTACGTGCGTAAATAAGTACACATATATTTTTTTTGTTAATAAACCCGAAACCTTTCTTCAGAATTATTACTTTAATTAAAATTAAAATATATCTACTCAAAATAGAAGCATTACATTTATAGATTGTCAAAAAACACTACTACTGTTTCGGTAAAAGCCACTGACCTTATTAATCGGGGAAAGAAACTCACCCGGACAACTTTTTTGATATATATGTAAATTGACAAAAATTCACTTTATACAACAAAAGGTTTACAATATTTTAATTTCTACTGAAATGTTCCGAATATCCATTGTTCCGGGTCATTAAAATTGTAGATCCGCAGATACGGATACTGATTATTGGCGTCAAGATCCGCGGGTACGGAGACGGATCTTAACTTTATATTCAGGAAAATCAGGATTTGATAAAAAAAAATGTTTCAAGTAGACACATTGTTAAAAGTAAGTTAATTTCTTCAGTGATTTTCTCATACAAGAAATAAAAGAAAAATTAAATCCAACTTTAAGAAGTAAATATCATAGCAACTACAATAAGTAGTAAGGACAAACCAATTAATACAAAAAAAATTAATTGCTAGAAAAGAACATTGCCAGAGTCTATGCCTAACACGTTAGATAGTGATGATGATGATGAGCAATCTGAAAGTAAAATATTAGATACGAAAACTAATTTGGTCATACAATATATGTCAGAAAAAGATTATAGAGACTAAGATCCACTAAAGTGTTGGCATAATAATAGAAAAAATTTGGAGGTCTCAGTCACATTGCTCGCAAATATTTATCTTTTATCATGTCTTTTGAGGGATAAAGCTGCCAAGTTACTTTTCTAAAGTACAATTTAGCATTACTTAATTTCAATATTGACATAATTTTTTAAGTCTCTTTAATTGTTGTTCATTTAAAGTTAACAGTTTCAGTGTCACAGTGTACTCACTATATATAACTTTACTAAATTAGATTTATCGGAATATCTTGACGACGCCAATGCGAAAGTTGATCGGCGTCAAAGAACCGCGAAGGCATCACCTCCCCCCTACCACTTCACTTTGGTTCACTCCGAAACGCCGTGACGGAGAAACGTGTTTGTTTTTTTTTTCACACTGAAAGTAATTTTTCGTGCATCTGTGTCGATCCTTGTAAGTATGCACGTAAATTTTGCAGTGTAAAATACCTATTCATGTATTAGTTAAGATAAATATCAGCATAACGAGGGCTGGTAGTCACATGTGACAACCAACCGCATGCATGTCTGCTGGCCCCGATTCGTTTACCTCGTTTATGAAGAGACATCCTTCTCTGTCCATTAGAAGACCAGAATCCACTAGTTTGCTCGAGCCACCAGTTTTAATCCACAAAATGTCAAGTTTTTTTTATAAAAACTTGAAATATGGAACATGGACGAAATTGGGGTGACTAAGATGCAAAAATTCCGCCGCACAAGCCACAGCGAGCTGATAGAAGCCAAAAACCTTATTACATTTGCCAAAATTGTGAATATCCAGACTGGTGGAGAATACTTGGATTGACTTTATATTATATCGTCCGCACTTTTATTTAAAAGTATAACGTCCAAATAAATCAGTGCCTGTTTATGATTACATGTTTGTTGTTTTCGTAACAACAATTCTAATTTTGTTAAATGGAAATTATGTATAAGTGAATTTGTTGACTATTCTTGTGATAATGAATATTTTACATTCTTTTCTTGGATACCAGTTCATGATTCTATTTCTGATAAAAATACATACTCATTTCATGTCAGAAGTCACACTTTTCCTTTTTATCAAAAATGTAATATTTCCTCAATGGATAAAATTAATGTCAAAAAGTATGAATTTATGTTGAAACTAGATTCCATATACTATCCATTGAGATATAAATTTCAATGATTTGCTAACAATATAGGCACTTAACAACTCAAAATCCAAAAATGTGACTTCCAACCCCGGTCTCCCCTACTGTAAACTACTAACTACTATTATATTGTAAACTGACCTTTTAAAAAAGAGCAACTGTTGAGTTTCTTGCCGGTTTCTTCTCAACAGAAATTGCTTTGCTTTCCGAACCGGTGGTAACTTACGAACGTGTTAATTTTCTTTGTAAAATTTTGACGTTTCATAAGAACGCGTAAGTGTCTATGTGAATAAAGATATTTTATTATGATCTTCTTATCCTTTAAACGAGCAATTCTTGTATATATATATATATATATATATATATATATATATATATATATATATATATATATATAATTGGAATCCCGGAAACGGCTCCAGCGATTTTCATGAAATTTAGTATGTGTGTAGATTCGGGGGCGAAAAGTCGATCTGACTAGGTTCCATTTTTAGAAAATGTCGTTTTATCCCAGTTTTCAGGGAATGAAAAATATTATTCGAATACGACGGTAAATTTCACCGAAAAAAAAATGTTATAATAGCTCGGTCGGTAATCGGGCGGCCGCTAACAAACAGCCACGAAACAGAAGGCCGTGGTTTCGTATCACGATCATTTACACACTTATTTTTTTACTTTTTTTTCGATTCCAGATCATTGGTCCTCCAGGTAACTTATAATCGATACGGGAAAGTATATTTTTAAATCAATTTGATCTTTTCAATGAATGAACTATTTAATTACTATCTATAATAATAGGATATCCTTTCATAGTAGGTAGTTGTAACCGAAGAGCCAAAAGAACATTAAAATATGTAGAAAAAAGAACATTAAAATAAATGTAAGAAAACCCACAATTTATGCTTACACTACCAGTGTTTAAGCGTCCGCCGCGCTTTAGAGCGCGTACATTCGGACCTCTGCTACTAGGATGTCATAAAATGAAGGAGAAATAAAACATTTCTGAGCATGCGCGAAACCGCCCAACGCCCATCTAATTATTCTCCCCTTGCAAACCACTCCCACTAATTATTCCCCCCACACGAGCCACGCCTTCCGTTTTTCAATCGATGAAACTACCAGGGTGTCATAGCGAATAAAGAATACTGACATTTCTGCGCATGTCCGAAATAGGTAAGACGTCAATATATGGAAGAGACGCTAAAACATTCGTCAGATGGTGATGCTAGTTCGGATATCGCTTAGTAGATGGCGCTTCGCTAAACCATAATGTCGTAAAACTGTTTTAACCACGGAATAAAGAAAACAAGTGGAAGTGTCACGTGGGACCATCGTTAAGCAAAAGCAGGAGGGTGACAGTGCCATACTTTGAGCTGGTAAAAATGTTTTGTATGGAAAGTGGAGCTGTCTATTGTTCAGGGCGTTTTAACTTAGTCGCATAGAACCGCAAATCATAACTAGATGTCGCTACTTTATTTTAGTGTCATGTTTCACCATTTTTTAATAAAATTAATGATAAATACACTGTATAAATACTTTCAAAAATACAAGTATATTTACTTACGAACAATCACGGCTAAACGATTATATAATTTTATAAGCACTCGTTTACAAAATTATATAATAATTTACTGTTCCAAGATTTAATAATTGCAACACTGTAACACTTGTCAACCGTCGCCGTCGAAGTTTTTCAATTTTTTACTTTTATTGCGTATTATTTTAGTGGTGTTTGCATTTTCTGTCTTGACTTTGATATTTACATTTCCCTTTTTTCCTAATGATTTGGCGTGTTTTCTAGATCTTGATAATACTACTTTTACTGTGAACTTTCTATTTCCTACGGACCCTGATTCATAACGATAAACCCCGGCTTCGTTTAGTAGACATGACTAATTAGGTTTTATTTTAAGACTACGTTTTGATGCTGTACTGATGGAGAAGATACAGAAAAACCCATACTCGAACTTTTATTTCGGGTGTGAAGATGGAGGTAAGTAATATTAACAATAGAATACAGTTTGTTTTATTACCATTTCCAACCTA